AAAAAAACAAAAAGTGTTTATCTTTTTAAAGTTACTATCTGACAAGCTCAGTCAATTGCATTAAGGTCAAGCACAGTCCACCAATTAAAAAGCCGGAAACGGATTATGGCACAAACTCAAATCTGACCTTATACTCCCATCCCCCTTTTAATTCTCTGTTTCCTTTTTTTTGTCCCCGGGCATCTGTTTCTATCTAATGTCATTTCTGTCTCTTTTGCTCTCCCTTGGCCCATCTCCGTGTAAATATATCACATCTCTTTGTCTCTGCACTGGCCTTTCTACCTCTCCATTTCTTTGGACCTTACTCCAATCACCCTTCTGCCCTTTCCTTTTTATCTGTTCCAGAGTCTTGTACAGCAGCTGTAGGCGAGTAAAAACAGAGAGCGATGTGTTTTAGTCAGGCGTACTCAAGTGCTCTGCCTCTCAGGCACGAGTGACCCCCACAATGAGGCTTTTGAAAAGTCAAGTGGATCAAGTAGATTCACCAACATCTGCGGGATTAACCACTAATCAATATGAGAACATATCAATAGCTGTGAATTCACAAATAAGGGACATAAGGAGCAGGGGCGGATCTAGAGAAATTTTCTTAGGGTGGCATAGAAATCAAATGGGGTGGCAAAATCGAAGCCCTTTTTTTCATACACTTATGCAGGTGGTTATATATGGTTAAAATAATCCAAATGCAGTAAGCATACACGTTTTTCATATAAATAAAGTCTATAACTTAATTATTGTCTGTAGCCCACATAATTAAACACTTTAGCTACATAAAACATGTGAGTTTTGATGCTATGTACTGTACAGCCTGTGTGATGAATAAATATGTAGCCCAATAAGTATAAAATCCAGAGAGCTACACAACATGGGGCGGTTCATTTACAAATGCAAGTCTAACTTAGGTTTACACTGTTTGTTGTCAGAAAACAGTCACATTGTTACAGCTTAAATTACACAAAATGTCAGAAATCTGCACTGTCATGAACAAAAATTGAAACCTAATTTTTTCATGATTTGTTGGATTAATCCACTGAGGTCTGAAATACAACCGGCAATTTCTGACTCCTTTTGAGTTTACGTTTGTATTTCACCCTCAAATTGTTTATTTTTTATTCTTTTCCCTTGCCTTGTTTGGTATCTTTTCAGCTCAACTTAATTTAGTTGTTTTGACTGACATACTGCATTAGTATTACTGACCTGAAATGAAATCACACAAATAACTTAAAATCCTAGTAGTATTTTTTTACTGCAAAAAAAAAAACCCCACACAGACATGTTGAGTAAATTTTTATAACTTGAAATGCAAATATAAAATGTACATTTTGTAAACATATACAACTATTTATCTAAAAATGCAGCCAATACACCTGCTGTTGTTTTTTCATTTTGTATAGGAATTTGTAAAATATTACTAAAACTAAAAGGAGAGAACAATCAGGTGTCGCAATAAGATGCCCCACAAATGATGTGTGCCAGTAAAAAATAAGTTTGTCCACCAAAAGACAGGAGAACAGCACAGGGATAAACCTGCAGCCCTGACAACAGGAGGTGTATCACTCAGCTGGTTTTCTAGTGACAGTGTTTACATTGCAAATGTGCCTTTGTGACATTCATTAGTGCCCTCACCGACACACAAAACAAAACAACGACTACACAACACAACAACTACATAACACAACACACTAAGTATACACTCCACACTAAACGTTACAAATCTGCCACATCTAAAAACTCTCTCTCTCACTCGCTCTGTCTCATAAACATGGCTTGCTATGGGCTGAACCATTTGTTAATGGTGCAGGGGGGGAACACTATGCAATATATTCAGTTTTAGCATTTATATTCACTGTTGACTGTAACTACATTCAAACTGTTAATGCTATCTTATTTTAATAAACAACACTGTCATATGCAAAACTGGGGTGACACTTGGGGTGGCAAGGGATCATTTTAGGGTGGCACTTGCCACCCCATGCCACCCTTCTAGATCCGCCCCTGATAAGGAGCAGCGGGGTCTAAAAAAAAACTGTTTCTTTCAATTTAAATTGTGATGAATTTAATAAATTCCTCTTGGAGTTCAGGCGCACTGTTTTACAATTTACTCAGTGCATAAAGGGGAAAGTCAAAAGTAGTTAAAACCAGGTTGTTCCCAGTAGAAGATTTTTTTTTACATGAAACCAGGACAGAGTGACAGATTCAGGTCACAGAAGTGCTCTGACTTAGATATGGACCAAAGCGCCTTTTGAGTCTGTCTCCCTAAAGAAGTTACCAGACAGAGTCTTTTTAAAAGTGCCCTTTTTGGGATCTGCTACAGCATTTTTATACTATAAGCTAAATAAAGGATGCATGTCACCTGCTGTTTTGTAAAAGGCCATTGTGTTTTATTTTATTTTATCCTATTTTTTATGCTGCAAAAGACACGAAAACCATCAAGAGGTCCAAATTCAGTGCTTAGAATTAGCTGTAGTGAAGGTTAGCTACCAGCAGCAGCTGCCTGTGTTGGCAACTGCCTGTCAGTTAATGCATACATTTAAGCCTTTAGAAAATGTATACAGTACATTAAAAAAATCACCTACTGTGCATTGGAATGAAGGAGGAAGTTAGCCACATGTTAGTTTCATCTCTGAAGTTCATTATAGGATTCTGTGGGGTTGACTCACTTAACCCCATGTGGTCACTGGAGAAAGTGCAGTTTTTAGCATTTCTTTTTAGCCTTTTTAGCTGTATTTGGCTTTTAGAGAAAGCAACTTTATTCACCTTAATTTAACACAGTTCTTGGTGAACAAATTAGGAAGTCAGCTGATGTTTTCACAGAGAAAAAGTTTGCAAAAGACAAGTTCAGGAAAGCCTCCCAGTAAACTGCAAATATGAACATATTTCTCAGATCCATTCTCCTTTACCATCATCAGAGTCACCCTTTAACCATGTTGTTATTGATTCAATCGCAAAGTTAAAGATTTCATAATCTTTGAGAAGTACATATTCCAACCTGAACCCCAATGTTTCCTGTGTGTCTCTAAGATGTCTCTGTGCAAAAACCTCACTGTCAGATTATATACATACATATATACACGGATATATTTTTCATTAAGGGATTTTGAATGGTTTTAAAAAGGCAAATAAAAAAATCTTTGTGTAAGAAGGAGTTATAAGCAACATTTTCTCTAATCTGGAAAATCATTCACAAGCCTGTATTACAATAAAATGTCTGACTGAAAGGATCAGCAGTGTATGATTTAGCAGTCTTTCACTTCACACTTAAAGCACCTCAGAGTGACAAAAAAACCATATTTGGCCAGGTAATCTCTGTGGAAATTGCAACGACTTGCTCTCGGAGCACTTTCACTCCTGCTGCTCAGAGTGCAGTTTTATTTTCCCTTGTTTGTGAAATCCTGCAAAGACAGATGCATGTGGCTAATCTGACAGCCATCTTTTGCAAAGCGAGACAGGAGCCGCTGGAGTGCAAGCGACGAGGAATGTCCCGTTGTGCAACATTGTCTTTGAGACAGGCAAAACCTCTTCATAGCTCAGCAAAGTGAGACTGCGCTGTTTGCCAGAAGAGATCACATTCTTTTTTCGGGCACACGGGTTGACACAAGTTCACAAGGAAAACTAGTACTTTGAGGTCAACACCTTTTGTGCAGAGGTATTTTTTTCTGTTAAAAGGACAGGCTAGAATTAAAGGCATTTTTATAACTTATGAGTGATTTGACCTCTCGTTTTTCCAGACGTGCCATGGTGCGTTCAATTGGCACAGCTGCTGTGTGTGAGGTGACAGGTGATGGAGAGTTAAAAAGCATTTTCCAAGCCCTTCGTCCTCCCTTTTCTTTCACCCCCTCCCTCCACCTGTCTCTTTATGTAAACCACAGCTTTCTATCTGAAGCCCCATCTCGGGCTATATTCAAGCACATTGAACTCTGCACCTTCTCTCTCTTTCCATCGCTCCACTCTTCCCCAGACCTCGCATCGCCCCCATCTCCCTTTTCTCAACTTATCACCTTCCACTCACTCTTTCTCCTCCTTATCTCACCATTTCAGCCTTTTGCCTCATTTTTTCAACCCCTCTTTGCATTTTCATTGCGTCTCTCCTCTCGCTTGTCTTTCTCGCTGGCTCTGTGTAACTGAAGATGGAGTTATTAGTCAGACAGTGGATGACTGAACAGGTGTTTTCCAAATGGGCCTTTGAGCACTCGCCGCATCATCATTGCTCCACACCAGAGGGGGGTGGGGGTGGAGGTTAGGGCTTTGTGTGTATGTGTGTGTGCAAGAGCTTGGCCTCTGCGTGCCCCTTTCACCTCAGGCTGGGCCATTTGCCAGTGCAGGGACTGAGGGAGGGGGTGTTACCGTACGTATCCATGAGTGTGTATGCATGTGTGGGTGCATAACATATGTAGGTGTGAAGAAGTGTTATATTTTTACCAGCTGCTGCTTGTCGTTACTCATTGAGGCACAACAGCACTGTAGAATAGCCTTGGCCTGGCCACTTTCCATCCCTTCGCTGAAAAGACGAGCGCTGACACTTTTAGGGATACGAGAAATGTTGTGTTGCTACACTTTTCAACCCTTAACCCCCATCCTGCCCCCCCGATCACCCGGCACATTTGACATGCTCAATTTGCTTCTTTCTTCTCTGTCTTCGTCGCGTCTCCCTTCTGTTACTCCTGCAGGTTTTTAGGACCTTGACCGTGCAGCGCCCCTTTGGATGTAGTAATTCTGTAAACTACTATAACAAGCTTGCTAAATGATAAAAGTTTCATAACAAACTGATGGAAGATTGCAAAAAACACAGTTCTTGGCCTGTCTTCCAGAAACATCCAGCGGCCTGCTTCCAGAGGAAACAGTGGATCTGGAACACAGATATGAGTTTATATTAGTGTGCTCCAGTCCCATTTAGTCCTTAATGACTTGTGTAATTAAATAAAAATGCTGAAGCACTGTTAAAAAGTCTCAGGTTCACCCAGATAAAAGTTCAACTCATCCTCTTCTTTGTTTTCAAACAGCAGTACAACGAGGACGTACATCAAACTCCCAGAGCAGTCCAGGGCAGTACCTGACCAATGGCACCGACCCGTACAACGGCCAACCCTACCTGTCGGGCTTCATCTCTCTGCTGCTTCGCGCTGAGCCGTACCCAACGTCTCGCTACGGGGCTCAGTGTATGCAGGGGAACAACCTCATGGGTATCGAGAACATCTGTGAGCTGGCGGCCAGGCTGCTGTTCAGCGCTGTGGAGTGGGCCAAGAACATCCCCTTCTTTCCTGATCTGCAGCTCATGGATCAGGTGAGTGTGAAGAATGACCAGAGTAGACCAAACCTAATGAGAATGAGACCAGGCCAGGCTAACTGCTTTCTACTGTTTTCAGTCTTTATATTGGATTAAGTCACACAAACATGAGAGCGGTATCTGTATTTATTTTCATCTAACTCGCAATAAGAAAATAATTTTATATCTATATATCTATATATATATCTATATAGATATATAGATATATATATATAGTTCTACAATGGTAAATTGTTCCTTAATAGATCATGCACAGAGAAATGCCAGAAAACAAAAAAAAGTAAAGTAATAACTCATAGTTCAAAACACTATTTTCAAGCTACTGGCTAAAAATTCATAAAATGTCATCCCCACTTACATTTTGAACAGAACTAAGCTAATAAATATTTGAAAAACAAATTAATATTTTTATTCCTCTTTTGTTAACCATCATGTCGCAGCACATCTGTTTTGGCACAAACCTCAACTCCCAACATTTGGTTCAGATCGACCTGACATCAATCATGCATATATAGATTTATATCAGCTATAAAGTCTTGGCACAGAGTAATCCCCTGACCTATAAATATTCACATGCACCTCTGACAGACATAGTCATCACAAATATGTCCGCTGTATCTGCACCAAATCATTAACATATCATTAATGTCAAGTTCACATGTTGAATATTTCTGACCTGTAATGTCAGCATGCACTCAGGTGTTTTCTGCAAACCCCACTCTTTTTAGACATGTTATCAAAATCCATGTAGGTTTTCTCTTTTCAATATCAAAGCGCTGATATTGTGTCAAACACTGTCTCAGAGATACACAGCGGGTGCCCTTTGGCATCTGTGTGTGCAGGTCTGTCACTGTTCAATTCAATTCAATTCAATTCAATTCAATTTTATTTATATAGCGCCAAATCACAACAAAAGTTGCCTCAAGGCGCTTCATAGATACAGAGAAAAACCCAACAATCATATGACCCCCTATGAGCAAGCACTTTGGCGACAGTGGGAAGGAAAAACTCCCTTTTAACAGGAAGAAACCTCTGGCAGAACCAGGCTCAGGGGGGGGCGGGGCCATCTGCTGCGACCGGTTGGGGTGAGAGAAGGAATTCCACATGTGTAAAGGACCCCTTTGGATCACATTTAAAACTATATGTGTAACTTTTCCAGCATCCAAAGTTAGTGGTGGGAAACATGCAAAGTAGAACTTCAAGTCTAAACCTAACCAGTAAAAAAGAAGTAAAAATAGAAATCCCCAAATGGGACACAAACTGTATTCTCCTGGCAGACAAACTTGTGACTTGCTCCATCGCCCCTTTAACCTCCTACTTTGTGGACTTTGTAGCTTTTGCAAGGAGAACTATTGACACTCGCCATTCAGTGTTACTGCGGCTGGTGCAGAGGGCACAGATGCTAAAGGACACTCTGTGCTTATCTCGGTTATACCGGCCAAATCTGATAGAGCAGCAGTATTTGATGCCCTAGGATGACAACTTGTTGGGTCACCTCAATAAATTCTAATTATTTTTTTAATGTTTAACCACATCTCCAAACATGTTTCTGTTACATAAGAAAAGTTTAATCCTCTTCTACCTGTCACAGTGCATGCTTTCTCACCCTCTTGTATCCTTTCCAATCTTTTAAAAGTAACAATAAACACCTCATCAGACTAGCTGTCTAATTTCTGACGGGTAGGCGTGTCAGGAATGTTCTGTCATTCCACCGTTTCTGTGTGCTTCCCTATTCTGTAGTGAATAGGTACCTGTTTGAATGAATGAAGCTCTTGTATGTAATTTGCATTAAGTATTGGATAATGTTACCAAATTCATATCATCTCCAGGTGATATGTGGTGGTTTAAATGACCGAATGTTAAATATACCCTGTGTCCTTCTTCGCTCTGGATTAATGTGTATGTGTTGCTCTCTGGTTACATGTCAGTGATGGGTGTAAATGCTGTCTGAAGCCTGCTGAACTCTAACTGGAGGGCACTCAAAGTGCTCAAACTCTGAGCAATTCTCAAAAGGGCTGTCACAGTTTTAGGCTTCAGACACATTTTGCCTTTATTCATTTTATATTTGCAACTAAAAGCAGAAAGGCCAAAGCCAAATTAGTCATCCACATGGGTAATCTGAACAAAAGTAATAATCATCCTATACCGCTTGTTTCTAGGTGGCTCTGCTGCGAATGTCATGGAGCGAACTCTTTGTTCTAAATGCTGCCCAGTGCTCCATGCCGCTTCATGTGGCTCCTCTGTTGGCAGCGGCCGGCCTGCACGCATCACCTATGTCAGCAGAGCGTGTTGTGGCCTTCATGGACCACATCCGAGTCTTCCAAGAGCAGGTGGAGAAGCTGAAGGCCCTGCAGGTCGACACAGCTGAATATTCTTGTCTCAAGTCCATTGTGCTCTTTACATCTGGTGAGTTTAAGTGAAAAAATGGGAAATAAGTAGACTTAAGTAAAGTAATATATGGAAATGGTTTGCACATTCTCTAGAAATGTAAAAACAGCTGGATTACCAAGTTGCCACTATTTCATATCATTGCGTGAGCTTTGAACCGTTGAAAGCACCTCTGATCGTCCTTTAGATCAGCTGAGAGGGTATAAGACCGATGCCATCTGTGTCCTGTGAGTATGTTTTGCTCAGGGAGGAAGAGAGGAATTAGCATCCTGCTAATCTGATTTCTACTGGCACGATAGCATTGTGTTTACTGAACATGTAAGCTTACAGTATCATGTTAACAACATAACCTGAATTAGATGGCCAGTAGCAGGGTTATTACACACATTTAAACACAGCCAAGGCAAACATTTGATCACGATGTTCTTAAGCAGAGAGAAAAACGACCAGTGAAAAGAATAAAACAGCACATAAGGATTCCATTATATTTTTGTCATGACAACATAATAGTGGTGTAGATTAATTTAAATGACAACTATAAATCATTAAAATGCTGTGCAAAGGTGCTACCTATACCTGCTACCCATAGGTGATATAAAAAAAATGCTCAGATTCATCCTAAAAGTTGCAAATACAAGCTTTAAGAAAGAAACAAAAGGTTTGTTAACACAAACCCCTGTACGACATACACCTTGTCTGAGGTGCATTTGAATGGAAACCAGTACTATGGCTGACTGAGAGGTGACCTCTAATGCTGCAGTAGATTGTGTCTCATTGGCTCCATATGTAAATGCTGCTGTTAGTCAGTCATGGTCTCTGCCCTCCATGAATTTGACTGTAATTTGATCACTTTGTCATACTGTAAAAGGCAGCTCTTGACCCCTGTGAGCTGCTCGTGCCTCACTTGAACCTCTTTGTTTTGCTAAATAGAAGAATAAGCTTTCACTACGCATTATAAACTTTGCATTTGTATTTTGAATTCTGTCCATTTGTGGGAACGACTCTTTGAAAAGCAATTTATTTCTTAATTTACAGTAGCAAAAAGAATCTGTTTATATAAAGTTCAAGAAACAACAGATTCATTATATTGTATTGTTGCATGCCTACTATTTGGACCCAAAAATCCAGTGTTATAAACCCCTTATTATACACAGTACAGTACTCGACAACAAAGAAAATGCCTTTATGCTAGAATAGATTTGTCGGTTTGCATCCAAAGCTTAGAAAAACAGGGCTCTTGAGCCTCACAACCTTACATTATGTGGCAATATGTCCTCCCCACTGAGTGACAGAGAGAATTAAATCAAAATATAATAGTTTTACTTCTTGGCAAAACCCCTGGCATCTGCATTGTTTTGATCCTGCTTATACACAAAGCCTGTTGAGGTTTATCCCAGCAGTCACTGGGCTCCAGTGTCAGCCAAAATACTGTCACATCTGGGATATTTCAGAGAGAGATCATGCTTTGTGACCCAGGGGGAAATGGATGGTGAAGAAGCCAACACTGAGATGTCTATCGTCTGTGTTATTTTACTGCTTTTTCCCCCCTTTCCCATCTTGCATGGCTTGTCAGATTCACTCTCTGCCTACTGAGCATCTTCACCAAGCTCTCTGTATGTAGGTAGCCAAGGATCCTCCTCTCCCTTCTTTTGCCTGTTTTCATCAGCCATCTCGCCTTCATGATCCCATCTATTATTAAAACCAGTCATCCACCCCTCCTCCCAACGCTCCCCAAACCCTAAACTCCAAGACCAGCACAACCCAAGCCCCAGGACCCCTGCCCCCACCACAGGAGTTGAATTATGTATGGTGCATTTCAGTGAGAAGGAGGATTCGCCATGACCTACATAACCCCTATAGCCCTAAGCATCCCATGTGACCTCCCTATATGCGCAGAAGCACATGTATACACATTAAAAAGCTGCACATCTTGGCAAGACCCTCGAACAGGATATTGTATGTCTTTGTGAAATATTCACACTTTAATGATCAAATCCTGAATTTGATGTAAACATGCACACACCGTAAATAGACCTGTTAATAAATCTGACCCTTGCAGACCTGGTAGGATGACCTAACAAGCTCAGACAAACACCAATTGTCTCCCACCTCCCTCTGAGTCCCCTCCCACCACTCCCCCTGTGAAGCCCAGTCCGATCAAGCTACATCAGAGAGCGGGCATCTCAGTCCTGCCACCCTGATCCTTCACCCCCAATGACCCGGTGAGTGCCCAAGGATCAGACAAAAGAACACGGCACTTGGCGTAGAAGGGCACCCACAGAGCTGTCGCTTCAGCACACGAAGTGGTTTCAGTCACACAGACAGCTTCGCTAATCCCGACCGGGCAGTGACTGCCTTGTCACGAAGGACTCCAAAATGGTCGGGCTGACAAAAACGCAGTCCATCTGCCTCCCGAGTGGATGGAAATACAACCAAAGTGGGAACAATTATTCACCCGGAATGATGAGAATAGCGGCTGCTGGGCGGGTGGGGAGGGATTGACATGCTTGATTAAAATATGAGGTGAATTAATTATTTTTTTGTGGAACTGAGGCAGGGTTTTACACAGGGGACAGATCAAAGTGTGAGAAGACAAAGGAGACCTGTGATGCAGGGTGACGGGTTAAAACTCACGGGCCAACGCCTTTTAACCGAAAGACTAAGCTTGAGAATAAATAACCCTCATCGAATACCTGCCTTCAATATGTGGGTTCACGCAGGGGGCAGGGTCAAAGAGCACTCCCACTTCTCGTACAGTATGTGGCAGAGTACAGTAGAATGCGTCTTTGTTTTGAGTTCACACATCTCTGACCTGCTTTGCAAAATCCCCTGTGATCTCCGCTCCACACACAGGGTGTGAAAAGCACCGCGTGCTGCGTTACACACTCTTGGTTGTGCGAGACTCTTGCCCAAGGTGGGGGCCGGTGAGACGAGAGGTAGAAGGAGTTGGAAGGCAGAAAGTGTCTCCCCAGCTGAGGAGAAAGTGAACACAGACCACAGGGGTGGAAGTAGATCTCCGCTGTGACAACCTTGATTTTGTCAAGTTGTAGCCAGATTTCTCTGAAAGGAAAATGCCCTGTTACATCCTGGTTCTTTCTGGCAATGAATAAGTATTAGGTGAAGACACCACTCTGCCACATACTAAAAGGTTTTGTTAAAATCTTGCACAATTGAAGCTTCTTTCACTAAGAACAAATTTCATCATATGCCAAACAGTATTAGCCTAACATAACATTAATCCAGAACATTAGTAACCAAAATATGGTATGAGAAGTCATTTTTCTTATGCAGTTATTCCTCGTCCTGCAATTCTGACTTACGTTTTGACACATGACATACTGGAACCCGCAGAACACTGGTTATTATTCCATGGCTAACACCTGATTTATCCTTCAACATAAAATCTACACAGTAAGCTATAATGTAGCCGCAAACCCCTCTGACCCATCAGTCTAACCTAGCAAATGCAAAGCAGCCCACAACTACTCTGGTTGGCCTAAAATTAAATGGAAGTCAGTGTGTCACAAAACTCACCTTAATGTCATACAGTCATTCTCACAAAAAGACTACTGCTTAAGTTGGATAAATGCTTATATCAGTTCTAAATCTTCACTTTGTATTCCTTTCTACTAGACGCCATGGGCTTGTCAGACGTCGCCCACGTGGAGAGCATCCAGGAGAAGTCTCAGTGTGCTCTGGAGGAGTATGTAAGAAACCAGTACCCCAGCCAGCCGAACCGCTTTGGACGCCTCCTCCTCCGCCTGCCGTCCCTGCGCATTGTCTCCTCTCCAGTCATCGAACAGCTGTTTTTTGTGCGCCTCGTCGGCAAGACTCCAATTGAGACGCTCCTCCGTGACATGCTGCTCTCGGGCTCCAGCTACAACTGGCCCTACATGCCCACAGTACAGCGAGAGCGACCAATCTCTCTCCACTACAATGAGAATGGGCCCTGAAGTGGAAGGACAGACCAAGGAGAAGCTACGGGGGAAATTACGGTTGAAGGCTGACCTGACTGCTCATCAATCCATCTCTCCTTCCCTTCATTGTCTGCGTTCAACTTCTCAGCTTCCCAAGAAGAAGTATCTCCCTCACCATTCCGCTTTAAACACCGACATTGACACACCATCATCCCAGTTACACAAGCCAGGCTAGCTTTCACTATCGCTAATACAGAGACTTTGTGGCCCGTTGCAGCTCCTCAGCCGAGTCTACATTTGAGATGTGGCGTGAGATGGACAGGTTGGTAGAATGGGTTATTGCGCAGTTCACCAGCAGGTCTGTTGGACTCACTTCAGATGTCATTCTCAAAAACCATGCAAACAATTTCAGCGAGCATTTGCTTCATTTTCGGTGATACACCTACACATACGGAAACTGTGTGCTAGCATCTGCGTACGAGCATGGAGAATACTGAGCAAGGGCTTTACCAATGGGACAGCCAAGAGCACAAAGCCTGTTGTAAATATACCAATTTTTAAAAAGAGAAAACCAGAAGCCATTAAAAAAAGACAAATGCCAAAATGTCTTGAACTTTTGCAGAGGATGTTTTATTGTGTGTTTGTATTAGCACTGTTTATATGGAGAGAAAACCCATGATTGTGTCCATATGTACAGTATATCATCGATTCATAGACATCTAAGGCATATTAGGGTTCAATTGGGGAAGCTCAGGTTCAGAGGGTGGGCAGACGGGCATGTCAATATCAGAACAAAAAAGACAAACCCAGCAAATTTTACACTTATCAGCAGCCTGTGCCAAAGCTGACAAATCATACGGTTTGGAGTATTTTTGTGATAGTGTTGGCTATTAAAAGAAAAGTTTGGTTTGTCTATAATTTGACTTGTTGTGGGGTCTGAGGGGCGAGAAGGAGTTTGTAATGAATACAAATAAAAGCGTAGGCACTTGCATTGAAAAGTAGTCAGTTTGAATCTGCAGAATCACAGCACTGGTAGATTGTTTCTACCCTTACCCTGTTTGACTGAAGTATATTTTTTCTTACTCTAAAGACCCATGGTGTTAACATCGGGGTGGCAAAGCTCATCCTCCTTATTGTCATTACTTTTTTTTTTGTCAGTATTGGACCCTTTAGACAGGGGAGTGGGAGGGTGGTATGGGCTTTTACAAAAGTAGCTGTACTTGCCTTAGAACAAAGATTCTGTCACTGAGCATTTATCTTATGACTGTGCCATAATCTCTCGTTACCTGTTATAACAGGTATTATGTCCTGTCAGGATTGGAAATGAGTTTGCATGAAGTTAAAATGTGATGTGCAACATGTCATTGAAGAGTCATGCACAATCCAAATATTTTAATTGAGTTAATTATTACACACACACACACACACACACACACACACACACACACACACACATACACACACACACACACACACACATATACATATACATATATATATATATATACATATATATATATATATAATTTGAATTTGTATATGTACTTCCTGTCAGCCAAAAGCCCGGGCTTCAGACAGTTCAAATCAGAAAGTCTTTTCCTCCTCTTCACTCTGTTTAATCAGTAAATTTCTAATATGGTTATCTCAGACAGAGCTCTGGCTGTGAGAACACAAGTCCTACACACCTGCTGTTCAAACCTTTGTTTATGAGGGTCAGCCAATCAAAAGACTAAGGATTAACTGAGCGGCTGCACTGAGGCCCAATATAAGATGAATAAAGATTGCTCTGATTTCCCTTTGCTGGGAGAAGGCACAACTGAACCATTTTGACATCTTTCGCACTTTCTGTTTTTAGACCTCATGCAAGCTCTTTCGATATCCTGGTGATATTGTTGTGTAGGGAAACCCCCTCGATTCATGTCATTTGAGCTTATCGTACCGATACCATAAAGTAATGTATCACTAACCTCTGAAAACCTCAGTCTATGTTACAATATTATCCCCAATGGACTTATGACTGTGACTTAGCTTAGGACTATTTTAAGTTGGTTTTTATTGTTTGACAACTTGTCTTGCATGTCCAGCACGGCACCCTAGTGTCAACCACCAGTGTTGATACTGAAAAAGCCACCTTGGACTGTAGAAAGCTGTTTGTTGGTGAATAAATTGACAGAAAGTTTCTATGAATTGTTTTTATCCCCTCTACTTTTGTTTGGAAATATGGATTATCCGTTAATTAAAATAAAATTGTTTTGTTCACACTAACTTTTCTAATGTCTTTTACTATCATCTTAAAGTAAATGCATAAGAAAAAATGCAAGCCATTCCGCATTAAGCTTTTTTTGTCCCCTGAGCTCTTTAAGTTTGAGGAACACTAGCTCCTAATAATGCAATTTAACAGAAAATCTTACAAAGAAGTAAATATTAAAATATTTTAAACATTTTTTTAATTCCTTTGGGTCCTTTGGTGACCCTTCAGATATCATTTCTATGCAAAAAATGGACTCAGAGGCACAGATTTAATCTGTCATAATTCAGAACATTTTGTTTGTTTGTAATTTTCTAGTTGTCAAGTGAAAAGAAATCTTAATGTGAGTAGACAAAAGCTTTAGAATATATCATAATTATCTTGGCACTGTGGCTCTTAGGTAGAGACCTGCAGAAAATAAATCTTAGCTTATTAGTGATTGGATATTTCTTGCCTAAACCTTACATCTTCATTGTTTCAGGGTAAAATAAGTCACTTGGTTGAGCAGATGACCCATGAGCTGTAAAGCTGCAGGTCATTCTGCCTTGTGCATCCATCTCTGCTCTCCAATGCCCCTGCCAAATAGAGGCTGAAAATAGCTTTTATCTATCCATATCTCATCAAAGCAGCAGGACATTACCACTCCTATGAAAAAAAACAAAGAATTAATTGTTCACATTGTCTATGCATAGACAATGCAACATGGGAAAGCCTTTTATTTGCATGTAATCAACTAGGTTTCACCTGTTTTACAAAGCTGTAAGACCATCATATATCTGCCTCATATAACTGAGCTGACAGAGACTGTCTTTATATCAAAGATGGGAAATTGTCAGTTTTATGCATCTGATGTATCTAAACTGACCATTTTAATGTTTGATCTTACTTAACTGATTTTTTGGCGCTAAAAGCAACAAGAAGATGAATACCAAATAATCAATTATGCTAGTAAGCCTGACATAATTACCTGCTAATTAGTGCTAAGAACAAAATAATAAAATCCTAGAATTTCACCAAAGCAGAAGAGCGAGGTTATTAGATGGGTTGCTGTACAGGTAAGTGTGCAGCGAGTCATTATTTGTTAAAAACTCAGCTAAGAAGTCCAGGATCAATTAGCACAGGTAAAGCCATCAGAGAGCTACCAGCTTCAATCACCTGTCAGTCAAATCAGTCAAACCTTTGGTAAAGCAACTTTTATAAAACATAAAATATTTTAAGCACGCAAAGATAGAATTCACCAGTTGTTATGAAAAGTACACTAGAAAGAAAATGTATTTCTGATGTAACAGAATGAGCATTTCAACATGGGAGTCCATGAAAAGAACCTCTTTTTAAGCCATCTGCTAGCAGACATTTGAGTCAACTTCAGGTTTTGGAATTTCCAGGTGGTTTCATTTTTTTCATAAACAGATGAACTGATGCTTTAAAAGCTTGGGGTCTGTTCTTTATTTTATTTATAATGCTTGGCCCATGTCTTGTACAATCCAGACACAAATGGTAATCTTTTGATTCTAATACATCCATATGCTGACTTTGGATTATGTCCTACCATAGCAAAAGATCAGACGTTTAAGTTTTGACAACACACACAAATAAAACATTACCTGTCACCTCAAAGAATTTAGGGTAAATCCATTAACTGGTCAATTATACATAAAATACTTTGATTCAAGGAGGGAAAGAGACACCAATCAATACTGTGGATCAATCAGTGATTTTAAAATAAATAGGGGATTTTGTGTGCTCGCGTTAGGAAGCAGCTCAAATGTTGATAGAGGCCTGGTTGATGCATGACAGAAAGTAAACAAAAACTGTGACCCAGAGCACACATGCTCTGTGACCTTTGGGTTCAAGGTGTGTCACCAGGTGTATGCACGTGTGTGGCTGCACATGTGCTCAGGTTTGAGCACATATAGCTGCTGGTCAGCTCTCAGTGTTCACATCGGACAAAGAGGAGAGAAAAGAAAAATAGAGCAAAAACGGCTTGTAACTTTAACATGTCAAGTTCTCTTCTTCCCACCGCAAAAACACAAGGGCTCACACAACACACTCCCCCACATGGTAACCTTGTGCCCTTTACACCCAACCTCCCCTCCTCCACCTCCCTCTTCAATCCTTCAATCTCCGCCCTCTACCCTAACCACCCGCCGCCATCTCACCTCCCACCCCAACCCGTGTGTGTGCGTTTGTGTGTGTGTATGGAGAGTAGCCGATTGACTTATGCCTTCATTTCAGAGCTGTCACTCCTGGCCAAACACCATGACCCTTCAACCTCCATTTTGGAGCTGCACATTTTTTTCGTTCCCTCACCATATGAATATAAAAAACACATGTGGCCAAAAGGTGTGTGTGTATGTGTGAATGTTTATGTGCACAGGTAAATCAAACTGACAGAGCTCCTTTGAATGGCAGGAGCTGAATTACTTTTGCACTTCAATTTTGCACACCTGCCATTTATGGCAAACACTAGGCCCAGCATAAACCATAAAAGCAAAATACGTTGCTTCAAGATACAAATCAGAGCCAGTAAATATCACAACCTCCAGAGCCAGCTGCAGCAATTACAGTCCTTTTTTTTTTTTTTACTCTGAAGTTAAATTACTTGGGATATTAGAAATTACTGAATACTACAGTTGGTCTACTTTATAGGCTAATATGTAAAGACTTAGTTTTTCCTTTGAACAGAACAGCTGAAAATATTCTATAAACAGTTTGTGTCCCTTTTAGCACAGTACATTCATGTAGTGCACTACGTGTAGTAGTGACTAATGTGTGAATTTTTGGAAAGAAAGCGTTGCTCAGTTTTAATCCTACCAGATACGACAGTTGCAGTGTTAGATTGCAGCTGCTGAACATTTGCAACTTCTATCAACTTGCCTTTGTAGTACTAAACTCTAGCTAACATCATCACTGGTGCTGATGATATACCCTACTTCTACTAGGTTAAAATTGGTTAGTGGTCTCTTCTTTTGCACTGCAAAGCCCAGATGGAACTCAGTGAGGGTAACAACGTTATACTATGAGTGCACATGCCGGTACTTAAAGTGCACTTTATGTACAGTAGCCTTGGTTGGCAGCACGAAAAAAAACTACATTAAAAATTGATGAAGTTTCTGCGTGTAGAATTAAAACACCTTCAAATGACTGTTGTGAAAAGTTTTTCACAGAACTGTTCTGCAGCCCTGTGAAAAGCTAAGTACCCTCACTGTTGCCACAATGGGGGTAAGTAGCAGCCAGGCACTGACAATCAAAGCATTTGATCAACTGATTATCAGCAAGTTATAAGAATAGAATTTTGTGAGTGCACTCGTCTGGAGCATTTACGTGGGTGTTAACACAATACCACAAAAACCTAAGAGCTATATCTCAGACTCTACTTGAGTTCAATTTTAAAGTTCATGACTGCACAATCAGGAAAGGACGGAACAAGAAGAATTCTCCTTGTAAGTAAGAAGGCTGACCAGGAGGACGCCCCTTCTCTTGAACATGGCAGCATGGTGAAGATTTGTAAATTAACCACAAGACCTGTGGAGTAACGTCTTTTGGACAGATGAGACAAAAGTGGTGATGTTTGGTCATAATGCACAGTGCCATTGTTGGCGAAAACCAATCACAACACATCAGCACCTCTAGCACAAACACCTCACACAACCTTCAAGCACGGAGGTGGAATGGTTTTGATTTTGGCTTGTTTTGCAGCCACAAGTCCTGGGCACCTGGGCACAGCCATTGAGTCAACCACAAATTCATCTGTATACCAACGTTTTCTGGATTCAAATGTTAGGCCATAGGTCCAACAGTTAAAGTTGACCCAAATATTAGAAGCAACAGCTTAGACAACAGAATTGCTGAAAATGCACAGAATCAAGGTGTTGTTATGATGCAGTCAAGGTCCAGACCAAATTGCTTGAAATGTTGTGATGGCACATCATTGGAGCAGTGCATACAGAAAATGAATAGTTCAACTTATTGCTGCTGAAGCTGGCTCTAAAGAGTCCTGTAAAAACATTATTTTTAATGTGACTGGTTTAAATTTGCAAGATAAACATAAACCAGTGGGTCATCTCATCGTGTTTACATCCATCTTTCATGTGCAGTCTATAACACACACATGGCTATGGATGCAAGAATGCATTTTGAGACACGGCTAGTCACTAATTGACTAATTTAAACAGTTTTTTAGGGGGACTATTCAGCGTTAATCTGGTATTTGTTTCACTTAT